GGCTCACTGCAACCTCTGCCTCCCAGGTTCAAGTGATTCTCCTGCCTCAGCCTCCCGAGTAGCTGGGATTACAGGCGCACACCACCAAACCTGGCTAATTTTTGTATATTTAGTAGAGACGAGGTTTCACCATGTTGGCCAGGCTGGTCTCGAACTCCTGACCTCAGGTGATCCACCCGCCTCAGCCTCCCAAAGTGTTGGGATTACAGGCGTGAGCCACTGTGCCTTTCTGAGATGGAGTCTCCCACTGTCACCCAGGCTGGAGTGCAGTGGTGCGATCTCGGCTCACTGCAACCTCTGCCTCCTGGCTTCAAGAGATTCTCCTGCCTCAACTTCGCAAGTAGCTGGGATTACAGGCGCACGCCACCACACACGGCTAATTTTTGTATTTTTAGTAGCGACGGGGTTCCACTATGTTGGCCAGGCTGGTCTCAAACTCCTGACCTGGTGATCCGCCCACCTCGGCCTCCCAAAGGCTATTCTTAAATAAACTTTGCCATCTGGTAGCAAGAAAGCTACCAACAGTCTAGGCTGACCTCTAACCCCGCAAGGGGACTAGAGTGTATCATTCTCAATGTTTTCAGCGTTTTAGGCCTCTCATTGGATCCTCGAGTCAAGATATGTCTCACTGTAAGGGGTGAAATATGCTGATTGGTCAGAGCTGGTCACATGCTCACCCCTGCAGTCCAACCCACCCAAACCACATTAAAAAGTGAAGAGTAGTTCCCACTCAGTACTCTTACCCCAAGAAGGTGTTACACACTTACGTCCATTTCATGGTCATATTTATTCTTACTGCTATTAATGACCACAGTAAAGGTGACTTTGTGAGTCTCTGGGACAAGGGAGAACGAGTTTGAGTGGGTGGGACAGAAAGAGGGAAGCATCTTAGGATGAAAGAACAAGTGACCAGTGGGTCTGGGGCAGGAGGAGACGCTGTTGAAGAATCTGAGAGACTAAGGGAGATTCTTGCAGAGTTTGCCAAAATTAGGGTTACTACACATGTCCCTGGGGGTAAGACTGGAATTACATTACATTCTGAAGGGGTTACTAAGTGACTAGGAGGCAACAGACAGGCAAGGTGTGGCCAAAAAGGCTTTACTATCTTTCAAGGAAGACATATTGGAAGAACCTAAAACCAGGGCATGGTGGACCAGGAGATAGGAAATGAATTATTAAGATGCTGTCCAAGTGGAAGTCACAACTTTGGACACTTGATGATAATTGGAAGAGGGCCAGGTCCTCCTGTGCTTCTGGGGCTTTCTGGGTGAGTGTTGGCCATGCCAGCAGCTGCCCTTCTGATCTCCAAGGGGCTGGGGGTTCCACGTTGTCATGGCTGGACGTGTACCAAGTCAAGCTCTGTTTCAGAAATCCTTATCACTGCTGGTGGTGAAAACGTGCCCCCCATTCCCGTTGAGACCTTGGTTAAGAGGAAGATCCCCATCATCAGTAACGCCATGTTAGTAGGAGATAAACTGAAGTTTCTGAGCATGTTGCTGACGCTGAAGGTAACATGGGTTTTCTGTCATTGGGGGAAGTCTCTGCAGCCGCTCTTACGTTCCCTGGCCCCACCCCAGGGTCAAGAGGATGCACCTGTGGGTTCAAGACCCTCTTCTTGGTCTGTGGGCCTGGGGAGGGGTGCTGGTCAAGGAGTATGTGTGGTGACAGAGGTGTCCGGGGGCAGTGTGAGATGAATCAGATGAGCGGAGAACCTCTGGACAAGCTGAACTTGGAGGCCATCAACTTCTGCCGGGGTCTGGGAAGCCAGGCATCCACCGTGACTGAGATTGTGAAGCAGCAAGACCCCCTGGTCTACAAGGCCATCCAGCAAGGCATCAATGCTGTGAACCAGGAAGCCATGAACAATACACAGAAGATTCAAAAGTGGGTCATCTTGGAGAAGGACTTTTCCATCTATGGTGGAGAGCTAGGTGAGTGGCCATGACGTTTGGAGACTGGTCCCTTGTTAGCATCTGGGACTGTGTGGGCTCTGAAGAGACAGGTCCTTTTCTGAAGGTCAGAGGGTCTATGAGACCAGCCAGGGACCAGGAGAGGGATGCTGCCACCTCTAGCTAACTGGTCCCCAGCTCCTCATCTTGGAAATAAAATCCAAACTCCTTACTATAGCTCTACACAATCTCTCTCCTGCTGACCTTTCATTCACTCTGCACCAACTCTATGGGCTTTCTTGATGTTCCTGCAGCTCTCTGGGCTTTGTCCAACTATAAAGCCTTTGCACTTGCCAGTCTGCCTCCCTGGTAATACCCTTCCCCCTCAATTCCTTGCCTGGATGGCTCCTTCTCATGGTCCAGGTCTCACCCTACAGGCCTCTTCCTCCTCAGAGCAGCCTTGTTACAGGACCACCAGGTTTGTATGCCCACTGCACACTAATATACCAATACACTGAGACAGCAGGGGATGCAGCAAAGACAGAGTGTAATTATGGCCAGGCACAGTGACTCACTCATGTAATCCCAACACTTTGGGAGGCTGAGGTGGGCAGACTGCTTGAGCCCAGGAGTTTGAGACCAACCTGGGCAACATGGTGAAATACTATTTCTACAAAAAAATACAAAAATTAGCTGGATATGGTGGCATGTGCCCAGCTACTCAGGAGGCTGAGAGGATCACTTGAGCCCGGGGAGGTCAAGGCTGCAGTGAGCCACAATCATGCCACTGCACTCCAGCCTAAGCAATGGAGACCCTGTCTCAAAAACAAAAAATCAAACAACAAAAATAAAAATAAAAAAGGAAATTAAATTCCCTTGCAGGGAAGCCAACTGAGATGGAAAGAACCCTCAAATCTCTCTTTGAGGAATTCTGGGCTGGGGTTTTAAGGGGATCTTTGGGGGTGAAGGGCTGGAAAATTAGAGTCATTGATTGGTTCGGGTAAGGGGGATGAAATCATCTGGATGTGGAAGCTGCATTCTTTGGTAATTCAGCTCCTGTGGGGTCCTTCAGATCAGTGGGCATCAGTAGTTTCACTGGTATGCAGGACTTGAAAAGATATCTCAAATGGAAAACTTAACCTTTCACAATGCTTAATATGTTATCTGTACAGCAGTTAAGGGGAACTGTATCTTGTGACTGGGTTTTTTTGGTGATTCTGGGGCAATAGGCAGACAGCTAGCTATGAGGAAGGGGTCAGAGAGCAAACTGACCTAATGATGAACGTTGAGTGTGTTGTAAGTGTGGCTGATTTTAGTTTCTCCCCCTCCCTTCTTCTCTGATTAATATTATAAAGTTTTTAGGAATGGTTTCAGCCTTCCCTGACCATGCTGGCTTAAGTGGCTTGCCATTGTCCTTAATATTTCACCCCGTAGCTCACTGTCACCCCCATTATACCACCTTGTCTTCTTTAAAGCATCAGAACATGAAATTATTCTCTGTATGAGTTTTATTTTTGCCTCTCTTTCCCTATGAGGGAAGGGCTCACTCCAGAGTGGGGATACTGGATTCTACCAATGTACTTTCATTTGGGAGTTTGCTGTCAGTGCTTGGCTGTAATCTGACGGTGTGGATGGAAGAGTCAGAGCAAGCATGTGGCATTGAACAACCTGGGTTGAAATCCTGTCCCCGCTACACAGGGAAGTGACTTGTCCTACTGAGCCTTGTTTTTTGTTTGTTTTGAGACAGAGTCTCGCTCTGTTACCCAGGTTGGAGTACAATGGCATGATCACGACTTGCCGTTGCAGCCTTGAACTCCCAGGCTCAAGCAATCCTCCCACCTCAGCTTCCTGAGTAGCTGGGACGAGTGTGCTCCACCATGTGTGGCTATTTTCTTTTTGTTTTGTAGAGATGGTGTTTTGCCGTGTTGTCCAGGCTGGTGGTCTTCTCAACTATAAGCTGAAAAACAGTCCTTGTGGGGTTGCTTGAGACACGCAGAGAGGTCATCAATGCCCCTGGTGACTCAGAGGCTTTCAACGAAAGTCCTGGGCTGAGGGAGCAGACAACTCCCAGTTTGAGTCTTGATTCTGCCATGCACTTGCTAGCTGACCTCAGAGGAACTGGTCCTCTCTATGTTCCAGTTTCCTCACCTGTAAAATGGGGATAGGTGCATGGTTTGAGATGATGATATCCCTCCTCCATTGGGTACACAGTCCACATCAGGCACAGAATGCAGCGTGCTCTTCACCTTCCACCTCACAGAATCCTCACCACAGCTGAAGGACCACATGGAAGTTTTATCATCCCCATACAGATGGCAAAAGTTACACACCCTGAAAGTCAATGGCACAGCCAGCCACCCAGCCTAGCCCGAGGCATGGGACTCTGTTGCCTGGTCATGCATGGGTGTATGGAATTTTCTTTTATCTCCGTAACTCAATTGATTTCTCCTTTCTCAATAGGTCCAATGATGAAACTTAAGAGACATTTTGTAGCCCAGAAATACAAAAAACAAATTGATCTCATGTACCACTGACTGCTTTGATGGAGCTGCTGTCACCTGTTCTGATGGTGAGATTCAGTTGCTTGGCTTTGCTGGGCTATGCATTCAGAGTCCAAGAGAGGGCTCCACTGTGTGGCAGGCAGATCTGTGATTGGAATTGCAGAACACACAGACACAGACACAGACACAGACACACACACACACACACACACACACACAGTTGCAGTGGGTTCTGAGCAGCAGGCTTCAACTCATACCAGGGTCATGGTAGGGTATGTAAACTCCTTCAGCTAGCCACCAATGATGTGAGCTGTGCTTCCTGCCTTTTCTATTTGTTTCTAGAAAGTAGGAGGCAATAAATCCCAAATGTCTCTTTGGGTCTTATTTGGAGAAGGCCTTTTGTCAGAAACTTTAGTGGAGAAAGTTCTACTTGCCAGGAATCCAAGGAATGAGGTGTGTTGGCCCATTACACAGATTAATAAGGGATGGAGGCTTGAACTTCCACTACCCACCATTTTTCCTCTCCTCTCCTCTCCCCAAGGCATGTGCAGAGGGAGCCTCCATGACACCATGAATCACTGATAGTTTTTTTTGTTTGTTTGTTTTCTTCACTAGATGCACAATGCAGGCAGAAAGTAGAATGCATCTTCAATTGTCCTATAGGCTGCCTGTAACCTTCTCCTGGGCAAATTGTTCTAATGCCACCAGCCAACCCATGTTTTAGTTTGCTGGGGCTACATAACAAAGTACCACAGACTGGAGGGCTTAAACAACATAAATGTATTGTCTCACAGATCTGCATGCTAAAACTGTGAGATTGAAAGGCTGATTGGCTTGGTTCCTTCTGAGGGCTGTGAGGGGAGGATCCATTCCAGACCTCTCTCCTTGGCTTGCTGATGGCTGTCTTCTCTCTGTGTCTTCACATCATCTTCCCTGTGGGTGTCTCTGTGTTCAAATTTCCCTTTTATAAGGACAGGTTAATAAGATTAGAGCCCACCCTAATGACCTCATTTTAACTTCTGTAATGATCCTGTTTCCAAAGAAGTTATATCCTGAGGTACTAAAGGTTAGGACTTCAACATGTGAACTGTAGAGGAGTACAACTCAGCCTGTGACTCATCACATCCATTGTCCTTTGTTCAGTGTTAACTGGTTTAACCCTTCTGTACCTTCATGTGTCGATGTCTTGTGGGTGGGCCCAGCAGTTCAACATACCACATTCATAATTCTTCATCTTTCGTGAGATTTCCAATTTCACTTTCCAGTTGAATGAGAAACCATTGGACATTGATGTGGGAGTGAGAGATGGACCCTCTTATACCAGTGCTGTCCAATATGGCAGCCACTGGCCACAATGTGGCCTGTCCAAACCAAGATGTGCTGTAATACATAAAACACACACTGGGCTTCAAAAGCTCAGCACAAAATATATATATATATATATTTATTTATAATATATATATTATACATATTATATATATAAAAATAAAAATCAGTATTTTAAAATTTTGATTACATGTTGAGATGATATTCTGGAATACTGGGTTACATAAAATATTTATTATTAAAAGTACTTTTACCAGTTTTAAATTTTTATTTACTTTTTAGAGACAGGATCTTGCTCTGTTGCTCAGGCTGGAGTGCAGTGGTACATTCGTACCCAGTGTTTTAAATGTTTCTGTGGGGATAAGGTCTTTCTATGTTGCCCAGGTTGGTCGCAAACTCCAGGCCTCAAGCGACCCTCCTGCTTCAGCATCACAAAGTGCTGTGATTACAGGTGTGAGCCATTGTGCCTGGCCAAGTTCCTTTTTTAAAAATGTGGCTGCTAGGAGAAAGGCGTGAACCCAGGAGGTGGAGCTTGCAGTGAGCTGAGATTGCGTCACTGCACTCCAGCCTGGGAGACAGAGCGAGACTCTGTCTCAAAAAATATAAATAAGAATTTTTAAAAAGTGGCTGCTATATATTATTAAATTGCATAGGTGGCTCCAGTAATGTTTCTTTTGGATAGTGCCACTCTAAAGTTCATTGTGGGGAGATTTTGGGTGATGGCCAATTTATAAATGGATCGATTCACTGGGGAATATTTTCATCATATGGTGACTCTGGGATCTTGGAGACTGAATGCACATATTACGAGAATCTCCCAGTGATAACTTGTGTTTCTCCTCTTTGCAGCCTTCAGCAGGAAGACCTCATTGCAATAAGTGAAATGCTGCTCTGGGTAGAAGCTCTTCCTGCTGGTTTTAAGGAGCCACATTCCTCCTTGGTCAGTTTCTTGATTGTTCGTCTGTTGAAGAGGTGCTCCCTAGAAGAACCTGCTATACGTTTCAAAGCACGAAAATCATCGTAGATCTTTCTACGGACCTTCAAGTCATGACCCCAGGGAAGCCTTACTGGGAAGTCTACCAAGAGCTGCCTGATTTGGAAGAAAGATCTGAACTTGTGGGTTCCCATTTGATTTTTTTTTTCCTCCTCAGGGGACTTAAAGAGACATTAGAAAGAAAAAGCCTTCACAGATTTGAAGAACTGGGCCCCCAAATGAACTCACCTGCCTGGAAGCAACTGGGAAACCCTTCCAATAAGTTCTGATAATAAAGCACTTCAGGGCCCCATGTCTTGATTTTTGGCTTGACACAAATACTTCGTCCTTTATTTAGTGTGATGGGGAGGGACTTGGCCTCTGAAATCGGTTCTGGGTTCAGACTGTGACCAGCTGTGATTTCAACTGTCTGAGGCTCGGAGATTTTAAATCTGGAAAGTAGATCCCCATCTCGGAGGGTGGCCATGGAAGTTCATGGAGATGATGTACAGGGAATGCAGTGTCTGACTCCAGAAAGTCCTCAGTATGAGTTAATGGTTATCATCAACACAGTCAGTCTTGGTTAACTCAAGAGTCAAGGTATGACTCTTGACTAATTCCATCATTAGGGAGGAGTTTTGCTGTTGTGGTAAAATTCAATAATAACAACTGAAAGAAGACAGTTTATTCCTCTCCCATCCAACAGTCCGTTATAAGCAAACCAGACCTGAAACAGCATATTCACAGTGTGTCCCTGAAATATTAGTAGGGAGAGTGGGAGAGGGAACATCTCCCAGGCTGGAGAGAAACAGCTTATCAGGAGCAACAAAACTCCCAATGTCTCTTAAGGTTCTAGATACTGATCTGAGGCAGGCCAGAGACCCTTTTGAGTTCCATTTTTGAAATACACCAGAAATTTAAAATGGCATTCTCCTTGCAAAAAATAAAAATAAAAATAACGCAATGCAGATAAGGCTAATGTCAACTTTGAGTGCTGTATTAGGCCATTCTTGCACTGCTATAAAGAAATACCTGAGATGGGGTCATTTATAAAGAAAAGAGGCTTAATTAATTAGCTCATGGTTCTACAGTCTTTACAGAAAGTATGGTGCTGGTGCCTGTTCAGCTTCTGGTGAAGCCTCAGGGAGCTCACAATCATGGCAGAGGGCAAAAGGGGAGCAGGCATGTCTCATGGCGAAAGCAGGAGCAAGCCAGAGGGAGTGCCACACATTTTTAAATGACCACATCTTTCCCGAACGCACTATCGTGAAGACAGCCCCAAGCCATGAGAGATCTGGCCCCCGCCGTGACCCAAACACCTCCACCAGGCCCCACCTCCAGCACTGGGGATTACAGTGCAACATGAGATTTGGGCAGGGACAAATATCCAAACCACATCAATGGCCCTCCTCAACTATTTGGTGGGCTTTTACTTTTTAATAAGTTAGTACAGTTGGTCCTCATTATTTACCAATTCCATATTTGCAAATTCGCCTCACCGCTAAAATTTGCTTGTAAACTCCAAATCAGTATTTATGGCACTTTAGAAGTCATTCCAGGACATACACAGGAGTGAAAAATCTGAGTGGCAGACTGTACATTCCCATCTGAGGTTGAACAAGGCGATGCTCTGGCCTCTTGTTTCAGCTGTCACACTGTAAACAGTACCCTTTCTGAGGTATATCTCACGCCACATTTTCTGCATTTTCGTGTTTCTGTTAGTAAACCTTTTTGAGTTTTTTTCAAAAATAGAGCCAGGGCCTCAGTCTGTCACCCAGGCTAGAGTGCACCGGTGTGACCTCAGCTCACTGTAACTTCAAATTCCTGGGCTCGAGGGATCCTCTCCTGTTTTGGCCTCCTAAAGCACTGGGGTTACAGGTATGAGCCACTGAACTCAGCCAAACCCTTCTGATTTTATCCATGACTATACTGTACAATTTTGGGTCAATATAATTCTGTTTTATAGCTTGTTTCTACTGTCCATGTGATCTCCCCACTTTTAGGTTTTCTAGGTAGTTAATGTTGGTATATGGAAAAGCTGTTGATTTTTGTATGTTAATATTATATTTAGACACCCCACTGCTAACCTATTTCTCAAAATGTGTAAGCTTTTTTACAGAGATGTGCATATCTTTTGCAAATATTTTTTCACTTCCTTTTCAATGTTGATTCCTCCTCAAGGAAATACAAATGGTTAATTATGTCAAGTGAGGAAAGCTCAAATACAGGAGAGGAATGTATGTGTTTTCTATAATGATTCTCACCCTGGTCTCACTGTTCTCTTAATGTTCTCTCAATGTTTTTTGAGAAACGACAAGAATCTGCTATCGTCAGGAAGGCTTTTAAAATTTAACTGTGGTAAAATATACGTAACATAAAATGTGTCGTTTTAACCCTTCGTTATTACACAGTTCAGTGGCATTAAGCACATTCACATCGTAGTACAACCATCAACACGCATTTCTAGAAGTTGCATTTCTAGAAGACGCATTTCTAGAAGTTGCATCTTTTCAAACAGAAACTTTAGATCCGTCAAACAATTCCCCGTTTCCCCTTCCCCTGAAAGCTATCATTCTACTTTCTGTCTCCTGAATTTTACTACTTTAAGCACCTTAAAAGTAAAATTGTAGGCCGGGCGTGGTGGTTCATGCCTGTAATCCCAGCACTCTGGGAGGCCGAGGAGGGTGGATCACGAGTTCAGGAGTTCGAGACCAGCTTGGCCAATATGGTGAAACCCTGTCTCTACTAAAAATACAAAAATTAGACGGATGTGGTGGCGTGCGCCTGTAGTCCCAGCTGCTCAGGAGGCTGAGGCAGAAGAATCACTTGAACCCAGGAGGCGGAGGTTGCAGTGAGCTGAGATCATGCCACTGCACTCTGGCCTGGGTGACAGAGCGAGACTCTATCACCAAAAAAAAAAAAAAAAAAAAAAAGGGGTATTGTAAGAATATTTGCCATTTTCTGGCTGGCTTATTTAACTGAGGATAATGCCTTTAAGGGTCATCCTTTTAAAAAGTTTTTTCAATTTTTTAACAATTTTTTAAAAATAGAGACAGGGTCTCCCTATGTTGCCCAGGTTTGTCTTGAACTCCCGGCCTCAACTGATCCTCCCATCTCGGCCCCTCAAAGTGTTGGGATTACAGGTGTGAGCCACCATACCTGGTCTCATCCATGTTTAGCACGTGTTAAAATTTCTTTTTTCAGGCTGAGTAATATTTCATCATGTATGTACACACGTGTGTGTGTACACATATATACGTGGATAAATTTAATTTATCCGTTCATCCATCAATAGACCCTTGGGTTACTTCCCCCTTTAGGCTCTTGTGAATCATACTGCTGTGTATATGGGTCCATGGCATGGTTCAGGGTCCATGGCAGAAACACATTCAGTGCCCAGAAAAGAAACCATGGGTGTATAAATACCTCTTCACACCCCTGCTTTCAATTATGCTTGGTGGGTAAATGAATTCATAAAACCCCAGGCACAGCGACTCAAAGTCCTTCTCTAACTCAGCCTTCCGGGAGCCCAGGGCTCTGTTTCCTTGACCTCCATGATGCCCGCACCTTATTTACCTCCTCCATCTCACCACTCTTCTTCCAGCTCCCTTGTGAACTGTCTCACTCAAAGCCAACTGTGTAGAGCAGGACTCTGGAGTCCCTCCCGCTGCCAGACTTGCCCCTAGCTCTTCCCTGGGGACTGTCACCTTGCAGACCACTGGCCTGTCAGAGCAGTGAAGGGCCTTCTTGGGTAGACCCTCCCTGCCCTCTAAAACTGGTCTCTACAAAGAGGCAATGGGCCATGTCTCCATCGTGGCTGTGGGCCACGGGATCCACAGTGATGTCACCAGGCTGGCCATGGACAGGAACATTCTGGATGTCTGGTCTAGAGACCACTGTCCCCCTGTGGCTAGAATCCCTGTGGCTAGAACAGGGGGAGTGACCAAGAAGATAAAAAGGTAGAGTCCAGAGGCGGGCATATAGTGGCTTACGCCTGTAATCCCAGCACTTTGGGAGGCCGAGGTGGGTGGTTCACGAGGTCAGGAGGTTGAGACCATCCTGGCTAACATGGTGAAACCCTGTCTCTACTAAAAACACAAAAAATTAGCCGGGCATGGTGGCGGGGGCCTGTAGTCCCAGCTACTGGGGAGGCTGAGGCAGGAGAATGGAGTGAACCCAGGAGGCAGAGCTTGCAGTGAGCCGAGATTGCGCTACTGTACTCCAGCCTGGACCACAGCAAGAGACTCTGTCTCAAAAAAAAAAAAAAAAGGTAGAGCCCAGAGTGGGCACTGCCTTCCCAATGACAGAGGGGCATGAAAATATGTTGTGGACACGAGGGAGGGACTGGGAGCCCACATATGTCAGTTCCTCCCAGGGATGAACTAGCTGCACACCAGGTGGGGAATGGGTGTGGTAGATTCATTTCCTTCCTTCCATGCTCCTTCTTCTCTTCACGCCAGCCCCCAACTGCCTTCATCACGTTTTTCCCTTTTTTTCTTTCTTTCTTTCTTTCTTTTTTTTTGGAGACAGAGTCTCCCTCAGTTCCCCAGGCTGGAATGCAGAGGTGCGATCTCAGTTCACTGCAACCTCCACCTCCCAGGTTCAAACGATTCTTTTGCCTCAGCCTCCCGAGTAGCTGGGATTACAGGTACCCGATACCATGCCTGGCTAATTTTTGCATTTTTAGTACAGATGGGGTTTCACCATGTTGGCCAAGCCTCAAGTGATCTGCCCACCTTGGCCTCCCAAAGTGCTGGGATTACAGGCATGAGCCACTGCACCCAGCCTGTTACCTCCTTATTTTTATTTTATTTTATTATTATTTTTTTTTAATGAGACGGAGTCTCATTATGTCACCCATGCTGGAGTACAGTAGTGTGATCTCGGCTCACTGCAACCTCCACTTCCTGGGTTCAAGAAATTCTCCTGCCTCAGCGTCCCGAGTAGCTGGGACTGCAGGTGTGCACCACCACGCCCGGCTAATTTTTGTATTTTTTAGTAGAGACGGGATTTCACCATATTGAACAAGCTGGCCTCAAACTCCTGACCTCGTGATCCGCCGGCCTCGGCCTCCCAAAATGCTGGAATTACAGGCGTGAGCTCCGGGCCCGGCCGCTTGTTACCTCTTTTAAGATGCTTCTCCCTCCTTCCTTTGCCTGGTCAGTGTCTACCCACTGTTCAGAGAAGCCTTCCCTGGTCACCCCCATGACTCGGTGGGAATCCTGTGCCTCCCTGTTGGACACTCCCACCCCCGCTGCCCGCTGTAGTTCCGTTTGAAGATCTGTCTGCCCAAGCCCAGCAAACTAGATGCCCCACACAAGAAGAAGAAAAACAAAGATACTTTGGAGACCATGTTTTCGGACAGATTCAGAGGCCATGACAGAAAGGCACTCAACACCCAGGAAAGAAAAACAGAGGTCGGGGCTCCTTGGCTCCTGGGTGAGGCTAGTGGGGTTCCCAAAGAAGCCAGTTTGAGATTGGGGGATCTAGAGCTTCAGGGCTGGCCAAGGGCAGTTCAGCCAGTGTCAGGATCCTTTAGGGCTCAATCTGTCTCTTCAGAAGTCGCCTGATGGGATAGGGGCATGGAAAGCACGGCCACAGGGTGCCAGGCTGGGTGTATGGGGGCTTAGGGGGTGCAGGTGGTTAGTTGTCAGAAGGGTCTGGTCCCTGGAGAGGAGACGGCGCCCGGCAGGGACAGTGTGGGCCTGCGGCTGACCTGTCTGCTTGCTGGTGGGTTTCCTGCTGAACTCCTCTCTCTGGGTCAGTGCGTCTTACTGTCCACCTGTCCCTGCAACCCCTTCTGTGCCTCGCTGGTCAGCTCTTTCTCCCTTGGCAATCCACTTCATACCTCACGCCTCCTGTCTGCCATCTCTCAGTGCCACGCCCCCGCCTGTGCCCCCATCTCTCCCTGGTTTTGCCCCTGACACCCCACCAGCTCGCCTCTCTCTAGGTCCACTGGGGGTCTCCGGACGCCGCTGACCCGCCTGTCCGCAGGCTGAGCTACTTGGACCACGGAGCGCGACGAGAAGGCGCGACTGCGGCTCAGCAAGGACTAGGTTAGCAACGAGACACTCCTCACCGTGCACGACATGGTCGCAAGCACGGCCATCAAGTACGCCAACAACATCGCGCCCGGCTCCAACTACAGAGACAGCTGCCACCTGCTCACCTACTTCGAGCACCACGAGCAGCGTCCGGGCGTCGCCAAGTCTTTCTTCGAAGTACCGCCACGCGGCCCGCGCCTGCGCGCCTCTCTCGCCCCTCCTGCGCCTGCGCGCCTCTTCTACACCCACCCTCCTGCGCCTGCGCGCCACTTACTTCACCTCCTGCACCAGCGCACCGCTCCAGGGCCTTTCTTCCCCCGCCCCTCCCCACCTCCTGCGCCTGCGCGCCTTTCCTGCCCTCTGGTACGCCTGAGCACCGCTCCGGCCCACCCGCTTCTGCGCCTGCGCGCTGCTGCAGGGCCTTCCTCCCCCAGCCCCCCGCCTCCTGCGCCTGCGCGCCACTCCTTCCCTCCTGCGCCTGCGCGGTGTTACTCTCCCGTAACTGCCTCTTGTCTGACCCGCATGTTTGTTTGAATGGATTCCCTGAGGCTACCTGAGAGCCAGAGATGAAAAGCTGCAGCCTTAGGGGGCCCGGTTGGGATCCCAGAGCAGCCATTAGCTACGTTTCTCTTGCACGAATTACTTTGCCTTTGTGCCTCTGTTTCCCCATATGAAGAGTTTACATATACATGTATATGTAAAGGCCAGGCGCGGTGGCTCACGCCTGTAATCCCAACACTTTGGGAGCCCGAGGCAGGCGGATCACTTGAGGTCAGGAGTTTGAGACCAGCCTGGCCAACATGGTGAAGCCCTGTCTCTACTAAAAATACAAAAATTAGCCAGGCATGGAGGTGCATGCCTGTAATCCCAGCTACTCGGGAGGCTGGAGGCAGGAGAATCACTCAAACCCGGGAGGCAGAGACAGTGAGCCGAGATGGTGCTACTGCACTCCCGCCTAGGCAACAACAGAGTGAGACTCTGTCTCAAAAGAAAAAAAGAGAAGAAAAGTCATTCCAACACCCGTAATAAACTGGATCCTCAAGTAAAAAAATACTGTTAAAAATTTAAAAATTAAACATAAAAATATGTATAATTAGATATATACATTTAAAATATAGTTGTTATAAATGCACAGTATATAAAACATCTGTTTATGGATAAATTTTATGTGTGCTATACTTTTATGTTAAATTTAATATAAAATATGTACATTTATATTAGCATTTTGTATGTAAATATACAAAATATAACAGCAGCTAGCTCACAGCTTTGCTGCATGGATTCAGTGAGTTTACACACATTCAATAGCTCTGGCACAGACAAAGCATTGCACCAGCATTCACTATTTATTATTTTTATGGTTCTTTTTCGTTTTTGTTTTTGAGACAGAGTCTCGCACTGTCGCCCAGGCTGGAATGCAGTGGTGCGATCTTGGCTCACTGCAACCTCCGCCTTCCGGGTTCAAGCGAGTCTCCTGCCTCAGTTTCCCGAGTAGCTGGGATTACAGGTGCCTGCCACCATATCCAGCTAATTTTTTGTATTTTTAGCAGAGACAGGGGTTTCACCACGTGGGTCAGGCTGGTCTCAAACTCTTGACCTCGTGATTCACCCACCTCGGCCTCCCAAAGTGCTGGGATTACAGGCGTGAGACACCGTGCCCGGTCATTTTTATGATTTTTATTGTGTCTCTTCTCCAGTGGCATGTCCTCAGCGAGGTCTTTCCTTGCTGCCCTGGTTCCCCAGACCTACCCCCTTCCCCGTCTCTGTGACAGCGCCTTTAAAAGTTGTCTGCCCAGGGCCAGGCACGGTGGCTCACGCCTGTAATCCCAGCATTCTGGGAGGTTGAGATGGGCGGATCACTTGAGGTCCGGAGTTTGAGACCAACCTGGGCAACATAGTGAAACCCTGTCTCTACTAAACATACAAAACAATTAGCCAGGCATGGTGGCACACCTGTAATCCCAGCTACTTGGGAGGTAGAGGTTGTAGTGAGCCAAGATCATGCCACTGCACTCCAGCCTGGGCGACAGAGCAAGACTCTGTCTCAAAGAAAAAAAAAAAAATCTTCCCAGTTTTTATCATCATGGCTACAAGCTACCATGGCCGTTTGTTTATTTGGTCATTTCCCTGAGGGCGAGCGGCCGGATTGCCTTGTTGTTGTACCAGCGCCAACCCTCTGATGTTTGTTGAATGAATGAACACCCATTTCTCAGATTAGGAAAGGGGATAAGAGACCTCCTGTGACTTGTTCAGTCCATGTAATAAACAACTAAATTATGCAATAGGTAGACAGAGGTCAGTAATTCAGAGGAATCCAAAGCATGTAAAGGAGAAAACTGCTGAGGTGGGGGCAGAATTTAAAAATATGGCGGCTAGCCAGGTGCGGTGTCTCATCCCTGTAATCCCAGCACTTTGGGAGGCTGAGGAGGGCAGATCACTTGAGGTCAGGAGTTCGAGACCAGCCTGGCCAATATGGTGAAACCCTGTCTCTACTAAACATACAAAACAATTAGCCAGGCATGGTGGCACACCTGTAATCCCAGCTACTTGGGAGGTAGAGGTTGTAGTGAGCCAAGATCATGCCACTGCACTCCATCCCGGGCAACACAGTGAGACTCTGTCTCAAAAAAAAAAAAAAAAAGGAAAAAAAAAAAGAAAAACATGGCTAAGGAGAGCCTCACTGTGAGAAAGAGATATTTCAACAAAGACTTCAATGAAGAGGAAAGATCTAAGGGACGGTGTTCCAGGTCAAGGGGAGTTTGTGCAAAGGCCCTGAGGCAGGACAGTGCATGCTGTGTTGAAGGAATAGGGAGGAGGCCCGTGTGGCTGGAGCAGAGTGAGGGAGGGAGGGGGTGGGGAAGGTCGAGAAGTGCCTGGTGGGCCTTGGGGAGAACGTGGCTTTTACCTTAGGGGAGGGGGACTGGGAGCCATAGAGGCAGAGGAGGGATGTACCCTGAACTCAGGTGCTCTCTGGCTACTGTGGGGAGGACAGACTGAGTAGAAAGAGACCAGCTGAGATTGAGATGCTGATAGTTTGGACCAAGGTGTAGCAGGGGAGAGGGTGAGAAGCATTCGGATTCTGAAAGCAGAGACCACAGAATTTCTCGGTGTCTCAGCAGAACCCACTGAGAATGACCAAAGTTTCTGGTCGGTGCCACTTGAAGGATGGAGCTGCTGTTGTCTGAGATTATGGAAGGTTGGAGTGGAGGGAGGAGGTTTAGGGATAAGGGCTGTGGGTAATATCCCTCCCCTAGCTGGGCTCCCCTAGCTGGGTTTGAGATGTGTGTTAGACGAGGAAATGAGGGGTGGGCAGTTGTATCCAAGAGTCTGCAGTGGCGGGGAGGGGCCCCATCTGGATCCGATGGACTCACCTGAGTGAATGGAACCAAGAGAGTTACACCATCTTAAATTATCCAGGTGGACCCTTATGTCAGCACAGATAATCTCAGTGCACAGGCAGAGCTTGAGCTACCAGGGTGTTCACCTCAACATTTTACCTAATAAAAGTGAAACCAGGCTGGGCATGGTGGCTCATACCAGCCTGGACAACATAGTGAGACCGCCATCTCTAAAAAATATGAAAATTATGGTGGCATGGTGGTGCACATGGAGTCCTAGCTACTCAGAAGGCTGAGGTGGGAGGATCGCTTGAACCAAGGAGGTGGAGGCTGTTGTGAGCCATGGAGGCACCACTGCACTCCAGCCCTGGGTGGCAGAGCAAGACCCTGTCTCTTTTATTTATTTATTTATTTATTTATTTTTGAGATAGAGTCTCGCTCTGTCACCCAGGCTGGAGTGCAGTGGCGCGACCTCGGCTCACTGCAAGCTCTGCCTCCCGGGTTCACGCCATTCTGCTGCCTCAGCCTCCCGAGTAGCTGGGACTACAGGCGCCCGCCACCGCACCCGGCTCATATTTTGTATTTTTTGTAGAGATGGGGTTTCACCGTGTTAGCTAGGATGGTCTCAATCTCCTGACCTCATGATCCGTCCCAAAGTGCTGGGATTACAGGCATGAGCCACCGCACCTGGCCAAGACCCTGTCTCATTAAAAAAAAGAAAGAAAGAAAGAAAAAAAAAAAAGTGGAACCAACAACAAAAAACCCAGCAGCCAGAGCCTACGTATCAGCCAATAAGGGGGATGATTAAATCATGACATCTCTATACTACACGACATTATGAAAGTGTTAGATTTGATATTGCAGAGAAATATTTAAAGACTGGGGGAAACAGTCAAGATGAATGGTTTTGTGAACAAAGGCAGGTACGTATGTGTAGTATTGCCCTGGCTCTGTGAAGTATGCATGCTTAAAAATGTCAGGAAGGTATTTTGTTTGCAGTTCTTTTTTCCAGGATTTCTCAATCTCCGGGCCGTTGTCCTCAGGGGCCGGATCATTGCTTGTGGTGGAGAATGTCCTGTGAGTATCTCGTCTCCATCAAAGCCAGTGGCGTTTCATTCCCGGAGCTATGACAACCCCTAATGTCTCCAAGTATTACCAAAAGTCCCCGGAGGAACAGAATCGCCCCCTGGCTGAGAGCCCCAGTTCTAGATGAATGTGTGGTTGCTTGTCATGGGGAGGATGCATTATTTTATCAGAGAAAACAACAACAACAACAACAAACAAAACAAAACAAACAAACAAAAAAACAGAAGAAACAGGACAAGTGAGGTGGTTGTAATCCCAGTGCTTTGGGAGGCCAAGGCGAGTGGATCACCTGAACCCAGGAGTACAAGACCAGCCTGGGTGACATAGTGAGATCCCGTCTCTATAAAAAATTAAAAATTAAAAAATTACCCAGGTGTGGTGGTGTACACCTGTAGTCCCAGCTACTTAGGGGACTGAGGCGGGAGGATGGCTGGGGCTGGGGGAGGTCGAGGCTGCAGTGAGCCATGATTGCGCTATTGCATTCCAGCCTGGGCAAGAGAGCAAGATGTTGTTTCAGAAAAAAAGAAAAAAAAGAAGAAGAAGAAAGAAGAAACAGGCAACAGAGAAAAGGGAGCCAAAGGTTCTCAGCCTGAGGCTCCCGGGCAGGTGGGAGGGGATGGCTGAGCCTCCCAGTGCCTCACAAGGACCTCCTCCCCTATCTGGGCCTGGAGTGCTTCCACGGCGTGGGGATCATGGGTCTCAACTCAGAAGAGTGGGTCATCACCAGTATTGGTGCCATCATGGCAGGGTAAAGGGCACATGGCCCCTCCCCAGAGCGTTTTGGGGGCAGGAACCCACCAGCCCACCTTCTATGGGGTCCCGAGGAAGAGTCCTCAGGACAGGT